TGGGAGGCTGAGGCAAGAGAATCGTCTAAGCCTAGGAGTTGGAGGTTGCTGTGAGCTGTGACGCCACAGCACTCTACTGAGGACGATAAAGTGAGACTCTGTCTTTAAATTAAAAAAAAAGAATATAGGACATTTACTTACTGGTAAATCATAACAACTATAATAACATCAACAATAACAATAGTAATAACAATAGTTGACGTTAAGTAAGGGGTCATTGCTGCCACTGGCTGTGAGATGGGCCTCCTTTAAATCCTTTAGGTATGTCCCAAATGTTGTCTGTATGTTACATGCATGATTTTTTTTGTTTTTTGCTGAATTGCTTGAAAGCAGTTACAGACATTATAACACCTCATCCCTAACTATCTGTGTTCATTTCCTAATAGAAACATCTTTCATGTCATAATACCATTATCACATCTAAGAAAATAGTTATATGATATCTCATACTCACTTTATACTCAAGTTTCCCCAACTGTCCCAAACCATTATAGAATGGAGGGGCATGGGCTCTGGAGAAGAGCAGTGGGAAGAAGCCTGTCTCAATTTCCCCCTTCATAAAATGCATACCACTAATAAGAATAGTGCCTATCTCCTAAGAGGATTTAAAGGAAGCCCATCTCACAGCCAGTGGCAGCAATGACCCCTTACTTAACGTCAGCTGTTATTATTACTATTGTTATTGTTGATGTTATTATAGTTATTATGACTGAGACTCCTAGGGAACAGTCCCAGGACAACCTCTCCAACTGGGCTAGCCAGGTGGGGATTCGGCTTGGCCTCCTCCACCCCCACCCTACCCCCTCCACACGCAGTCACCCTGCCGATTGTGACGTCAGCTGACGCTAGGGCTGGGGGACCATCTGGCCGGAAATCCCTCTTCCTGTTACAGATAAGCCTGGCGCTGCCCAGCTGACCCCAGACCCTCCTCCCTTGCTACCCTCCATGTCGCACGATCAGGTCCCCAAGACCGAGAACCTGTTCCCCAAGACCCCTGCCCTGTCCCATCACCCCGTAAAAAACCCTGGCACCTACCCCCCTGTCCCACCCATTTCGCTGTTCCCTAAGCCCCCTTCCAAGCCTAAGTCCTCCCTGCAGCAGGACAGCCGCAGAGGCGAGCGTCCATCCCTAAGGGAGGGGGACACCTTGGCCCCGCCCCTGGCCCTGCAACTTGACCCGGGCTGCGACCCCCTGCTCTGACGTCTCGGAAAATTCCCCCCCCACCCCCCCGCCCAGGCCCTCGAGGGAGGGGGTGCATGGTATGAAATGGGGCTGAGACCCCCGGCCAGGGGCAGAGGAACCCGCCAGAGGTGAGCCACGGTGCCTGGGTTAGGAAGGACCAGGGGGGTTAGACTCCCAAGAGCTAGGGGGCCCAAACTCCTGGGTCTGAGAATAAAGGGGTGCCAAGATGCCTACAAGGGTAAAGGCAGGAGCAGAGGCCTGGACTCTTGGGTCTCAGGGACTTAAGGGCTGGGTCCCGGATTTGGGGGTCTCTAAGTATCAGATATCTTCACCCACTACCATTTTGACTTTTCCCATCTCAGAACATTCATAACGAGCATTCATGGACTTGTGGAACTGGGATGAAGCATCACCACAGGAAGTGCCTCCAGGGAGCAAGCTGACAGGGCTGGGTAGGCTGCCAGCACTGAGACAGCGTGTGTGGGGAGGGTGTTCAGGTGGGGACCTCTGGTGACCTCTCCCTATCATCCCTAATCTCCTTACTGTCTTCAGAAGGAGCTGAATTTGGCTTCTATTTCCCTGATCCGGTGTTCCAACGGGACATGCCAACCGCGGAGACCAACTGGAAAGGTTGCTGTGGGCTGGGGAGTAAAGGGGGAGGCTGCACTCCTAGGTCTAAATGAGGAGAGGGACACGCGGGGACAACTAGGGCTGAGTGAGGAGGGGCTCTCCTGCTTGGACTCCAGGTTGAAGGGTTTCCAGGTCCTGAGTAAATAGGGGTTGGGTGTAATAACTCCCAGTCTCTGACAAATAAAGATTTCTAGGTATCTAAGTCATTGTGCACATTCTAAGGTACGATCTTATCTCTCACAGGGTTCCCACAGCTGGACTGGGACTCAGCGGTACTGAACCCAGAAACTTCATGGGGGGCGGGTGAGTGTGTGAAGACAGGCGATGGAAAGAGGGAACTGGAGTCCTGAGATCCCTGGGCTGGAGGTTTAGATTTCCCAGTCTCTGCCGGGGAACGGACCTAGGACTGGGGACACCAGATTTTTCAAGGTGGCACTGCCTGGATCCGGAAACCCCGAGCCCCAAGCTCTAGGCTGAGAGCTTAGACCCCTGGTACCTCTGAGGGGCTGGGAAACCCGGACTCCGCTCACTTGGGGTCCGTTCCTCCTTACAGAGCTGGGCACTCAGGCTATTTCGGGCTCAGGAGACTGGACAGACCTGGCGTGCACTGCCTCGGACCCTTGGAGCCATGTCTCCCAGCCCCTGGATCCCTCCCCTCCCTGCCTGGGCCCTGTCCGCTTTTCTAGTTCTGAAGAGGTGGCGAGCAAGAACTGTGCCACCTTGGCGGGAAAGGCCAGCTCGTGGTCGCGCGCTCAAGCGGCCGGGAGCACCACCCGCTGGGACTGTTCGGTCCGCTCCGACTGCGCCACCTACTGGGGCGATGGCCAGGGCGGGGAACCGCGCGCGGACTACACCGTTTCGTGGCGCGGGCCTGCGGGCTCGGACTGTACCATCTCCTGGAACCCAGGGATGCATACAGATTGCACTACCTCTTCGAAGGTGTACCAGGGTTCAGATCCCACCGCTTCCTCCGAACCAAGCCAGCAGTCGGACCGTACCGCTTTGGCTCGTTACCCCAAAACTAACCACCGAGGTGAGAGGTTCGCGAAGACTACGGAGGTTGCAAGTCCGGAGTAGTAACGAAGGGGGCGGGACCCGGGAAACTGGAAGAGAGTGGAAGGGGGCTAGGGACGTCAGAGCTCCAGAGAGGAAGGTCCTGTGGCCCTCACCCATAGTTCTTGGGAAGAAGAGGACTAAGACACTGATACTAGGGACCAAAGGGACAAGGACCTAGGTTTCTGGATTATGTGAGAGGAAAGAGATGAGTGGGGGAGGCTGAACTCCTAAATCTCCAAGGTTGGGGACCTGAACCCTGTGTCTCTGAAGCTGACTCTTTGGTCCTAGAGGAGGAGGGGAGCTGGTCTCATGGGTCCCGAGTTAGGAGGACCTGGACCCTTGACCTTTAGGGATGAGAGAGCCCGGTCATTGAAGCGACATGATCAGGGGCTGGGAAAACTGGGCATCCACCTGCCTCCACTCTGCAGGTCCTATTCAGCTGTGGCAGTTCCTTTTGGAGCTGCTCCATGACCGGGAGCGTAGCAGCTGCATCCGCTGGACAGGCAACAGCCGCGAGTTCCAGCTGTGCGACCCCAAAGAGGTGGAGCAGCTCCCTTACCCCGCCAGGTCCAGGCCGGTCTCCCCTAGTCCAACCTAGCTCCCCCGTTCACTTAGCCTAATCTTTGGCCCCTCCTCCAGCCAGGTCCTTGCTTCTCGAGGTACCGCCCAACCCTTCCCCCGCCCCCTGCAATAACTGCAGCCTCAACCAACCGCATCCAAATCCGGCTCGGCGGGGCCACGCCCGCCATTGCTAAGGCCCGCCCACCCAGTTTCTGACTGCGCCCCGCCTGTGCCCTAGGTGGCCCGGCTGTGGGGCGAGCGCAAGAGGAAACCCGGCATGAATTACGAGAAGCTGAGCCGCGGCCTGCGCTACTACTACCGCCGCGACATAGTGCGCAAGAGCGGCGGACGCAAGTACACGTACCGCTTCGGGGGCTGTGTGCCCGGCTTAGCCTATCCAGACTGCACGGGAGGCGGACCCGGAGCAGAAACACAATAAAAATATCCTGTCAAACCTCGTAGCTTGCTTGTCTGCGTCCTTCCGACTGACACTGACTAGATCTCGCTAGCGAGCCTAAGTGTGCAACCCCCACTTTTAGGAGTTTGGGCCTCCCCACCTCGGAGACCCAAGCGTCTGTGGACCCTTATCTCTTTCCTCTCACATAATTCGGGAGCTTGAGTCCTCGCTCCTTGGTCCCTAAAAGACTGCCCGCATTTTCGTCCTCTCTTCCCCGAGGACCCGGAAGTGAGGGCTACAGGCCCTTCCTCACTCGAGCGCGGTCATTCCCTAAGCCCCGCCCCCTGGCTGCAGATTCCCGGGTCCCTCCCCCTTATGTCCTTAAGCGTCGTTATTTCTGCTTAGCTCCCTCCGTACAGTCTTTTTTTTTTTTAGGGGGTGGGGAACAGAGCCTCAAGCTGTCCCCCTGGGTAGAATGCTGTGACATCAGAGCTCACAGCAACCTCCAACTCCTGGGCTCAAGTGAGTCTCCTGCCTCAGCCTCCCAAGTAGCTGGGACCACAGGCGCCCGCCACAACGCCCTGCTATTTTTTGGTTGCAGCCATCGTTGTTTGGCGGGCCCGGGCTGGATTCGAACCTGCCACCTTAGGTGTATGTGGCTGGCACCTTAGCCACTTGAGCCACAGGCGCCGAGCCCCATACAGTCTTTGGGGACCTCTCAACTCAGTAGTTATGGGGTAATGAGTAGGGTGATCAGATTTTAACATCCGTAAGGCGGGACAACATGGCGGGGGGCGGGGCGGGGCGGGGCAGGGCAGGGCCTGACAATGCAAACTTTGATAAGCAGTTCTCAATAATCACTTCTCAGCAATAATTTGTTATTATTACAGTTTAACATTATAAAATTAACAAAAATAATATAAATCTCATATTCTGGCGAAATGGCCACTTGGCAGCCAAAAACCGTATATTCCCTTCTTGTTCTCCCGCCCGTTCATGCATTCTTTCCAAAAATCGGGACTTTTTTAAAACGCCGCGGGACGCGAGACAAATTGTTGAAAAGCGGGACGTCTGGTCACCATAGTAATGAGTTACCCGCCTCCAGTGCTGGCCAATGACCAGAACCTTAGGGAGCATATGTGTGCCTACCCTGTGATGGGACACGCAGAGAAATCCAACCCAGTGCCCACAGGGCATACAGTGGTGTGCCCTGCCCTGTGTTGAGACTTTTAGAGGAATCAGACCCAATCGTGAAAGTTTATCTGCTGTGTCCTCCACCTCCCCAAGAGAAAAGTTAGTCTCTGGAAATATCTCATTGTGGGCCGAGAGTGGTGGCTCACACCTGTAATCCTAGCACTCTGGGAGGCCGAGGCGGGTGGATTAGTTGAGCCTGGGAACTTGAGCCCAACCTGAGCAAGAGCGAGACCCCATCTCTAAAACAGCCAGGCGTTTTGGCGGGTGCCTATAGTCCCAACTACTCGGGAGGCTGAGGTAAGAGGATTGCCTGCACCCAAAACTTTGAGGTTGCTGGTGAGCTATGATGCCATTCACTCTACTCACTCTACTGAGGGCGACAAAGTGAGACTCTGTCTCAAAAACAAAAACAAAAAATAAAAGCTTCTGTGAATCCTCCTGTCTTAAAAAACAAAAATTCACCTTGTGCCTTCTCAGTGCTAGAGATCACCAAGGAATTAAACCTAGTTCTCGCCCCCAGCACCACCTACTCTGTTTTCCCACTCCACACTGGAGGACATAGAACTCAGACTTCTAAGAAAGAGCCTACTGGAGCTCACTGGGCGCCTACCCCATTCTGGATACCACTGAACCCTCTAAGGAGAACTGCTGTGTGGTCTTCTTATGGGAGCTGCTGGGGATACAGCAGTGACCAAGAGAGCCTGGATCATCCCTCAGGAATCTCACAGTCCAGCAGAAGACGGACCCAGCACCAGACAGTGACATGCAGAGTGACCTGGGCTGGAATGAGAAAATTCCAGGTATTGAGGGAGCTCCGAAGGAGGGACTCCTTTCTTCTATCCCAGAAGAAAAAAGATCAGGAAAGACTTCCTGGAGGAGGAAACAACTGATTGAAGAAGGTGGGTAGGGGGTAGGCGCGGTGGCTCATACCTGTAATCCTATGTATTTATAAGGCAGAACTAACATGATTTCTTAATATGTCAGCTATGCAGTGTGAGAGAAAAGTAGGAGTCAAAGACGACTCTGTGACCAGAACGATAGAGTTATTTTCCCAGATGGAATACCGGTAATTTGTCAGATCCTTCACAAACTCAAGCTTTAACTCCCAACTCCACCTCCTTGTTATGCCATACTGGTTTTTGAGCCCTGAGCCACTCGAAACTTTTTAATTTGGCCTTTTGAGCTTCGGGGAGAGATGATAATGAGAGATGATAAGGAGGTAGAGTGACGAGTGACACCCGGGAGGAGACCAGTTTGTTTTCAATCCCCTAACAATTGACCCGCATTAATTACGAGAACAGAAATTTTTGTGTTTTGTGCAGCCATGTATTCTCAACCCTTACAGAAGTGCCTGACACAGAATACAAGCTCAATAAGTGTTTCTTGCATGAATAAAAGTATACTTTTGCTGGGGCATTTTCTCCATGCCCACCCTTAAGCCAGTCCCAGGATCTATAACTCTTTCCCCAGGCAAAGATGCAAAAGTGATGAGAACCAGTAACCGCCGGCGTCCCGAGCCCTAGATCAGGGCCATTTGAAGAGCCGCGCCAGCTCACGATTGGGCTGGGAGGGAAGATGAACAAGCATTCAGTCCAATAGAAGATCGGAGTTACCTTGATAGGCGTGGCCTGGATGGCGTCGGGGACCACCTCCCTGTGGGCTCTCTAGCTCTCAATTCCCTGCCTCTCTCCGCTTCCGGTCGGTCTTAATTCCGCTTCCTGTCCGAGACTGGCGTCTTTGCTGAGGGTCACATTGAGCTTTGAGGTGCATCGGGGGTGTCTTTCGGTGAGTGTGGAGGGCTCGGGAACCTGGGACCCTAGCCTAGCGGTCTGTGAAACCCGACCCTAGCTTCCCCGAGAACGGGATAAGGCTTCCGGGCGGTGGCGCCCGGCCTCCCTTGGCCGTGGGGCCCTGGGGCCCTGCTGTTCTGTTAGCAGAAATAGATAACGATTATAGTTCCTCCTTAATGCCAGGCAACTTACAAGTGTATTGTATTAATTTAACCAACCCTATGGGGTAGGTACTGTGATTATCCCTTTTGACAGTGAGGAAACTGAGGCTCAGAGATACTAAGCGACTCAACCGAGACCGCACCGAGATCAGGATTTGAACTCGGTAGTTTGGGCTACAGTCCTAATACTCACCAGTCCACTGGCACGGCCTCCCGCGGCTTGCCTGGATCGCAGCCTAGCTCCCGAATGTCTAGTCCGTCCTCTTTCTTCGACGTTGGAGACCCTCAAATAATGGGGTCGAAACCTGACCCATAACTACTCTTCGCACTGCATCCGTGTCCCAACAGCTGGTGCTTTCCATTCCGCTTCCCCTCTTCGTTCTGACCACCCCACCCCCCACGACAATTCTAGTGCCCTAGACCCGCACCTTTACCTTATGAAGGCTGCTTGAATTTGACTCTGGCCTGTGCATCTCTGTATAGCCTCACGGCTCCTCGGATTCTCCGGAATATAGATGCTTTCTCGTAGATTCCTTGACGAAAACTGTGTCACCTCTTCAGAGACATTTTATTAGAGGCTTTTAACCCTGGGTCGGCAGAGTTGGTAGAATTGAAGGAGTTATATAGTACTTGAACGGGAGTAGGGGAATTACATTTGTATTTTTACTAACCTCATTTTGAAAGGTAGCATTTCCTGCAGTTAGAAATGGAGACAACAACCATAGTAGTATTAGCAGCACTGTGACTTTGTTAGCTATCAAAATCACACATTTTCTGATCATATTATAGTCGCAAATGTCACAAAGTAGTGTATCCACTCTTGATCACTTAAAATTGTGTTAGTTAATAAACTCTGAGCTAGCTATAACTCATTTTCTTTGTGATCATATGTAATTTTTTAATGCATTTTAACATTCTGAGGTTTAGGGGTTCATCAGACCCCCAAAAGATTTAGAACCTTTGCAATGTAGGTTATGCCAGCGATTGAGGCAGCCCATTGTGTGGATGCTGGATGACCTTGGGAAGTCACTTAGACATCCTGTCTCTTTCTTGTCTGTGGAGTGGGGATAATCATAGTTCCTCCCTTTTAGAGTGGCTGTAGGAGTAAAGTGTGTATGTAGAATAGCACTTGGCATGTAGGAAGTGCTTGGTGAGTGTTGCTAGTATTATTTTGCAGACTAAGTAGTTGCCCCCTCAACCCTGCTGTCACTTCCACATTCACATGTATGGATTGGACCTGCCCTTCATCTGTGTGTGTGTTAAGAGGGAGGACACAGTAATTCATTCACACCCAGCACATTCTGCTGTGTCTGGGCCTGGCCAACTTGACATTCCCATGCTCAGGCCTTCTGGAACCCCTGCCAACATACACTCCTTTTGCCTTCAAGGATCAGCACCATGGCTGAAGACATCAAAACCAAAATCAAGAACTACAAGACTGCCCCTTTTGACAGCCGCTTCCCCAATCAGAACCAGACCAGAAACTGCTGGCAGAACTACCTAGGTGAGCAGGGCACATGGGGGGAATGCACACCTTCCCCTGATCTTCAAAACACTCACTTCTTCCTGTGGTGAGTGGATGTAGGGAACCCATCCATCCCATCCTCTTCCCTTTTACTCTGGACATTCTACCTCTGGAGGGCCCATGCCCCTTGTCACCAACTGTGTTCAGGTCTATATAGGCCAGGGTAACAAACTAGGTGCCTATAATGACCTTTTCTTAAAAGTGTATGTGTATAATCTAAGAGACATATAAGAAGTACATAAAATGTGTACAGCTCGAATAAGCAATCCTAAAGTGAATCCAGTGTGCAACCATAACTCATTTAGAAAAATAGATATTCCTAGCACTCTGATCTCTCCCGCCTGCTTTGTGCCCTGTCTTGAATATAACACCCTGTTGTCTCCACTAGAGATGTGAACCCACCAAGATAGGGTGATCACATTTTCACCCTACCTCACTTAGGTTTGCCCCTGTGTGAACTTTATAAATACTGCATGTATTCTTTCGTGTTTGGATGTCTTCATCCAGCAGGTTTTCAGTTTCATCTATGCTGTAGCAGGTGGTTTCCTCATTTTCATTGCTATGCAGTTTTACACAATTTATTCATGGACACTTCTATGATCTCCATTTTGGAGTTAAGAATAATGATGGTATAAAGATTTTGTAAATGTAATTTTATGTCCATGTGCACACTTTTCTCTCTAAGGAATGTGCCCAGGAATGGAATACCTTGAGCAATTTTTTTTTTTTTTTTTTT